AGATGTATGCACATGCACAATTTGGCTTGTCATCACGAGCGTTGCCATTTCACGTTGCCACAACAATTGCAAGTTCAGCTTTTGCCTTGTTTGCTGCAAGAGGGCTACAAACGTGCTGTACTTAGAAGAAACGGCATTAGCATATTGCTATCCCCGACACTTCATTCAACTTTCAGTAAGACATTGCATGCTGAAAGTTAACGTTTATAACCAACACTCAGACAGGCATGTGGTATAACCAAGAGCGCAATTTGCGTTCAAAGATTCAATGATTCACTATATTCTGCAATTCCATTACGTATCGCAGCTGGCTGCGTTCTTCATCGATGCACGAGCCAAGAGATCCACCGTTAAAGTTGTAAACATTATTGGCTGCTATTCTTTGTAATCACACAATTGTCAAACATCAAGTTAAATAAAAACGCGAGGCCGGAAATGGCAAAGGAGCTTATTTGAGTTTGAACAACACAATTTGCTTCCACATTGTTGCTTCCATCCACCCATTTAAGGACGTAGAAAGTCCACCTCCCATTTAGTTATAATGTTCACAGAGTTTTCATTGTGAAGGTAAATATAAGAAACCTAACACAATCAAATGTCATTGTACTGATGATCCTTCCGCAGGTTCACCTAAGGAAACCTTGTTATGACTTTTTTCCTCTAAATGATCAATTTGACCAGCTTCTTGACGTCCGTAGATGGCCGGAATCTGACAGTGCAATCAGGCCTCACTAAAAGTTTAATGGTATTATTTACTGAAAGAGTGTAAAAGGGAATTGGTAACCAACCGAGCTGATGATGCGCTTACTAGTGAAACTGTTTAAATCAACGCATCCCTTGTCTAGCAACCAGTGTTGAATAGTGTTATTCAAAGAAACCAATGCACCTTTAATTTAAGAAACTATTTGCAATGGGAAATTAATGTAGTTCTGTTCAGTAGGAGATCCAAGGGCATGACAGATCCAGTTTTAATTCCTGGCTTAAAACAAACAGCAACATGATTATAGAATTTCTGAGATTTCGTTCAATTGCTCTGACTAGTTCAAGATATTTTCTCATAAGTTCTCAGTAATTAATCAGACAAATCATAATACCTTACTAAGACACCCAGAACCACCACCCAAGAATCAAAAAGAGTCTCAATGTCAATCCTTATATGTCTGGACCTGGTGAGTTTTCCCGTGTTAAGTCAAATTAAGCCGCAGGCTCCACTCCTTGGTGACCTTTTAACTAAGTTTACCCATCTATTCAAGAAAGACAGTTGCACCATAAGGTGTTAACAAACATCAAATAACACAATGCCTAGTGGCATTTATGGTTAAACTAGGACGGTATCTGATCGTCTTCGATCCTCATTTCGTTCTGATTAATGAAAGCATTACTTGGCAAAATATTCGTTATTAGTTCGTAGATTTCCTAAATTTAAGTGTGTTGTCTCTTTCACAAAACCTGAATGCATTATTTTCACTATTAATATACTTCGGTTCCAGAAACCAACGGAAAATAGAAAAAGTGATTCATTATTCCAAGATATGGATTCAAGCAAAAGCGTTAACAAATTTTTCAAAGTGGAAGTTTTGACAAACACACAATCCGTTATTACCGCTATGTTTGGGAAGGGGTCCAGGCCCAGTAGCCTACCTTATTATAGACCTCAATGGTCCAGCCCTTTCCAACTCCAGGCTTTATAAGCTTAACAACTTTACAATACGTATTGGGCTGGAATTACCGCGCCTGCTGGTTCAAGACTTTCCAATTGGTCCTCGTTAAGAGATTTAAATTGTAACTCATTCCAATTACAAGACTACAAAAATTATTTTATTTTTGAATACCTCCCCAAGTCAGGATTCGTAATTAAAATGCTGCCTTCCTTATGTGGCCGTTTCTAAGGCTTATCCTAATCAGAACCAATTCTCCAATGCGTTGTCCAAAACAATGCTTGATTAAATTTGAATTCGGCACAAAGTTAAAAGGCCATGCGATTCGAATAGTTATTGAATCACCAATGGGTTTTAAACGTTAAGCATTCTTTCAATCTAATAAATCATCCCTTCCGCAAAAGTGGGACATTTTCGCATATATTAGCTTAGAATTCTACGTTATCCAAAGTCATAATACAATCAAATAAATGATAACGATTCAAGGAGCCATTGTTTCAAAGTACAAGTTTTAAACCAAAATCATAGAATAATTTTGAGACAAGCATATGATATGCAGGATCAACCATTTAACTTCCATTGCTGAGATAAACTTAAACAGTATATATGCTAGAACCTGTTTCGTTTATTTTTCCACATGGAAGGGTCAACCAAACGAAGTAGCCATCTATTTGCCACGTTTTCAAATTCTTTGATTGCATTTGATCCAATTTCATTGAAATGAACATAACCAAATGGTTCAATGTGAGTATGTTTCAAAAATGATTTGTTAAATAAGCATGTTTGAATTGTTTCCATACCAACATTAGTTTATTACAAATGTGTTAAAGAATTAAAATTCCAAACCAAGTGAATCACCTCATCGCGATAGTTTTTCACAATTTTGAAAGCTGAAAACAAAACCAAATCCATTACCGACATGTTTTGACCACGTCGCCAAATATTTCTCATTTGTACTTATTTTGGAACAAACTTACCTTACATAAATACAAAATGCAATCTTTTAAGACGGATTTGACTGAAAATCAAAGTGACTCACTTTTACGTTGGAAAAGGTTTATATGCAAAGTTCATTTTCTGTTGTTATGGAATTGACAATTTTGCTTTGAGACCTTTAATTTCCTGATCATTTCTACTAGAAGCTTCTGATTTACCGTGACTTATTTTGGTATGAGAGGTTCTGATGTTCCGACTTATTTCTATTTCAGATCTTTCTGATGGCAGCGGATGTTTTCCTTCAGTGTTCTCCTGTATTGTGACTTTATTATCTCAGAGTAATCCTTTTGGTCACCTCATTTTATTCAATGCGAGTGGTGGTTTATGTTCAATTTAATCCAACATGGGACTGATTCTGTGACTATTTACTTTTTATCAAATATGCAATTTTGAGAGTGGCCCTTGAATAAATTATTCCTTTAGAGTTATTTCTTTTCAAGTGAATTATTTTTATTTCTAAGAAGTTTGTTATGGTCTGCTGAAAATTTTCTGAAGCATTTGATGAATACTCTGTAACTCACTTTCTGTTGTTACAGTCTGTTTCAATGGTATCAGTGAAATTTCTATTTCAAACAGCTAAGTACAAAATACAAATTTTGTCTCAGGGGTTTCAGTGGTAGTGACTTATTTTCCCTGTCAGAGGAAATTGAGATTGTCAGCGTGACCAATTCTCTCAGAGCCTTGAGAAATCAGTGATTATTTTTCCCTTCAGAGGCCTTGTGATATCACAGCAGATTTTGCAATCTCAGAGGCCTCTGATGATCTACTTGAGTCACTTAATTCACAGATATCTTCTGCAGTCTCAGTGACTCATTTCTCCTTTATCAAATTTCTGAGTTGACGTGAATCACTTTTCTTTCAGAGGTTTCTGAGAAATCACCTTGATTATTTCAAGCTTTAGAGCCTTCAACTATTGAAACTGAACTCATTATCCATAAAGAGGCCTTATTATGTTCAGTGACTTATTGAACCAATGTCAAAGCCTAAACAATCACTAGCTCAATTTCAAAACTAAGAGGCCTTCTGATGATCAGGTGATCAATTTGCCCAATCACAGAGGCCTTAAATTTCTCCATGACTCATTTCTCCCTATCAAAAGCAGTTCTGTATCACCAACTCTTTTCTATCTAGAGGCCTCTGATGATCAGGTGACTTGCGATATGCATTCATAGTAGCTCAACAATCAGAATTACACACTTTTCCTGTTCTGTATACTATGACTCTTATTCCCACTCAGATGAGAAACAATGACTATATTTCCCATTCATAGGCGGATGTCACGTGTCCACTTTTTCTATAGAGGGCTCTGAATTGTCCCAACTGATTCTTCTGTTCAGAGGGCTGAGTACCGTGACTCACTTTTCAATCATGTGCTTCAAATGTGCACAATGAAATTGGCCTTTTCACCTCTCTTAAAGTTGATTTGTAACGTGCTCAATGTTCGCCGTTCAATGCACTGTGGTTGGTGACTAAATTTTCTTCTTAAAGAGCTTTGTGAACTTGACTCATTTATCAATTCAATCACTTTGAATGGTCAACGTAAATTTTCTTATCAACAGCAAACTGTGTAACCGAAATTGCTTGATCACTTTGGAGGCCTTGTGTGATTAATGTTCTCTTTTCAATCACAATTTCTGAAATTAACCGTGAATTTTGTTAGTTTCAGGGCCTTGTTATTTCAATGTGTATTTCTGGTCTCAAATCATCTGTGGAATCTAGTAGTACTCCGTTCCGTTTATAGAAGGTATTCTGATGTACTCGGTAACTCTCTGTTGAAAAACTGAATATGTAAAATCGTCTGATGTATAAAAAATCGATTGAAATCTTCAAATAAATATGTGAACCTTGCAGAAGAAATTGTTTAGTTTAGTTTTTGGCAGCCATGTTGTTTATGGAAAGCCAAATGAAGAGTTAAAGACAGAACGTTTTGCTTACTTGACAAACCTCTTGCAAAAATTTCATCAAGCTTAATGGTAATAACTTCATCCAGTTGGCTGCAAAAAATTTCATCTAGTTTTGAAGTGAAAATTTCATCAAGTTTTAAACAATCATCTTAATTATGGTGGCGTTTGTTTTTATGACAAAGTTTTCAGTAGCTTGATGATATTTCGTGCGATTTGAAATATTGACGCATTTGGCACCTTATATATAAACCACGCCCCCAATGTAGAAGCACGTATATTTTCGTTACGGCAATAAGTTAGAAGACCTGTTTCTAAAGTTGAATTTTGCATGGGTCGAATGCAATTACTACACGACGTCTTCGCTTTATCTCATTCCAGACTTTGTTGTGAGTAGACCGCGCGAGCTAAAAAGTATTCGACACATGCAAAATTCAGCGTTTGA